TTTACTCCTCTGTGTTTTATGTGCCTGCGTTGTGAAATGACCTCTTTCCTCTGATCTTTGCTTGAAGCCGTGTTCCTGTCCAGGCCTCATCTGTCATCACTGTTCATCTCCAAGCATGTGTGTTTTTGCACAGTACATGCACATGTGTGTGTTTGGATGGTAGAACATGCAAACTCACACATACAGAGTCACACACACACACACACCAGCGGGGGAGAAAACGTTGAACGCCAGGCCCTCTGCAGCCTGGCTTCAACATCACACAGCTAAAGAAGGAAGAGACGAGTCTCTTTGGAAATGGCACAGAGCCACCTTGGACCTCTGCTGGTTTGGACCAGCAGCTCCACTGGTTTTTGGAAGCTGATTTGGAGCACTATTTATGGAACAGTGTGGATAATATCCAAAAATATTAAGCTTCTTTGCTGCTTATTTAAAAACAATCCTCTATTTAGACTCAAATCAGAAATAATTTCCTCATGTTGGTCATTTTTGTTCTCATATATACCTCTGTTACATGCTACCAGACATGTAGAGGATCCATTATTTAGCTTGTAGCGCCCTCTACAGTTACTAGCACCACTGATATAAAATGAAATTCAGCAGAGGTTCATTGACCCTAAGGTATCACACGTTGCAGATTTTCAGCAGCTTTTAATTATATTTATTCACAATTAATTAAATCCAACCTATTTTATAAGCTTGCAGACCTATTAGTTCTCTTTGTCACATTAAAACCACAATTTTTTTTTATCAAAATGGAGAGTCTGGGATAGCTCCATAAAAAGAGGCGATCGAAGTGTCGTTCTGCAGGAGCAGCGGAGATCAATAAGCAGGGTGGGACTTCCCCGCTGCTGCTTCAATTGAGATAATAATCAAGCTTCTGAGCCCTCAGCACGCCATACCCAACAGGAAACAGGGTGGTGGCTGTATCATGCTGCGGTGAGACTATTGCTGAGAAGGGTAACGGAAGCTGATCAGAAATTAGATAGTTGATAAAAACAGGACAGAAAGCCTGAGGTAGCAGAAGTTAAGACGGTGGTAGATGTTTGCCTTCCAGCAGGAAATCAATCCTGAACAGAAAAACTGAGCAATGCCACATTTTTTATTGTGTGTTAGAAAGTGGTAGAGGCAGTGCAAGAGACTGGGGACGCTTTCAGCACTTTTTGATATTCTCTCTCATCTACTCAGTGAAATTAGACCTACGCCGACCATTTATTAATAGATTAAATTAACACTTATCTCTTAGTGACCCATATCATTTAAATGTAACTACATCTGACTGTTTTTTTTGTTTTTATAATATTCATTAACAATATATATATATTTTTTTTTATTTCACTTAAAGTCACACAACAATGTATAAACAAACAACAAACAAACAAATAAATATGCCAGGGGGTATGTCACAATAAACAAGTACAGCTAGGAGAAAAAAACATGCAATTATATAAACATATGCGCTGGGGAGTGTCATATATATATATGTGTATGTATTATGCAAATAAATATATCTTCTACAACATTAAGTTGTCTAGAATTTCTAGTTGGGAACAGATTGTTATGGTTTTTTGAGCTTTCTGATGAGAAGAAAGATGAATTGTATGAAAATATTGTTTGACTTCTATTAAATAAGCTTTTTTAGAAATTTAAATTTATGCAAGTGAAATTTGGCCAACAAAATTAAAAGATTGATAAGGAAAGGTTTGAAAAGGTTTAAAATGTTTTTCCAATGAAGCTGAAAATTTTTCATAACATTTGAATTCACATAGTTGCAAAAGTGTAAATTCATTAACAATATTGTGTTGCAACCAACATCTTCCCAGGGGGGATTTCAACATAAATCCATTTAACTTCATAAATCAGCTTTTTTTTGTTGTTGTCATATTGAGCCTAACATTCTAAGAATTTGTATCGATTTTAAAATATAACAACTAAAAGTCAACCTCGAGCAGAAACAAACAGACATCTCAAAGTGAAACAATTACATTTTGAAACCTTTTTTTTTTAATACTATTATGAAACATTCCAAATTAACTCAGCAACCCAACTTAAAATATAAAAGATGTCCCAGTTCTAAATTGGAAAAAAAAAACTTATGTTGAAAAAGCATGTTTAAAGCATCCATGTTGTCAACGTTTATCAACATTTTATATTTTTTAATAGTCATCTAAATAATATTAATCTAGCAACATGCTCCTTCCATCAGTCAGATTCAGTTTAATTAGTTCTCTGGTTCCGTGGGGTTGTAGCAAGTGTCGCAACCATCAGGGGTGGATCTAGAGGGGAGCAGGAGGAACACTGGAACCCTCTGAAAACTGATTTTCTTTTAGATTATTCCTGCAAACCTGACAAGATGTCCTCACATGCAACCTGGGGTTCTGATGCAAGCAGTTGGATTTGGTTGTTAAATATTAAAAATGTTTTATTAGTATCATACTAGATCAGGGTGTCAAACTGGTTCCAGAAAGGGCCGTGTGGCTGCAGGTTTTCTTTCCAACTAAGCAATAGCGCACCAGACTCAGTCATCTCATCAAGTCATCATATTTAGATTGGACTCACTTGGTGAGATGACTCAGTCTGGTGCGCTATTGCTTAGTTGGAAAGAAAACCTGCAGCCACACGGCCCACTTTGACACCCCTGTACTAAATGAACTGAATCCGGACGACAAGACCCTTATGAACAGAATCAAACCATGGAGTGTGACGTCGCCTGGTATGGCGTGGATGGGGCCTCACCCTGGAGCCAGGCCTCGGGTTGGGGCTTGCATGCGAGCGCCTATTGGGGACAGAGTGCCTCGATTTCCTGGTGCACACACGCAGCTTCTGGCTGTAGGGACATGGAATGTCACCTATCTGGGGGGGAAGGAGCCTGAGCCTGTGCAAGAGGTTGAGAGGTACCGGCTAGATATAGTTGGCTCACCTCTACGCACAGCTTGGGTTGTGGATCCCATCTCCAGGAGAGGGGCTGGACGCTCCACTTCTCTGCCGCTGTCCGTGGAGAGAGGCGGCGAGCTGGGGTGGCCTTGCTCATTGCCACAATCTTAGTCGTCACGTCTTGGAGTTCTCCCGGGTGAATGAGAGGGTAGCGTCCCTACGCATTCAGGTTTATTACAGAGTGATCAAACTCCTACGCCTCCCCAGTAAGGTCTACTCCAGGGTGCTGAAGAGGAGGATCAGGCTGATAGTGGAACCTTGGATCCAGGAGGAACAATGCGGTTTTCGTCCCAGTTGCGGCACACTGGACCAGCTCTATACCCTTCATCGGGTGCTCGACGGTTCGTGGGAGTTTGCCCAACCAGTCCACAAGTGTTTTGTGGATCTGGAGAAGGCTTTCGACCGTATTTCCCTTGTGGTGCCCTGTGTACTCCGGGAATCTGGGGTCCAGGGCCTTTTGTTAAGAGCTGTCTGTTCTCTGTATGACCACAGCTTGGTTTTCTATTGCTGGCAGTAAGTCAGACCTGTTCCTGGTGCATGTTGGTCTCCGCAAAGGCTGCCCTTTGTCAACGGTTCTGTTCATTACATTTATGGACAGAATTTCTAGGCGCAGCCAGGGACAAGAGGTTTGTGACCCACAGGATATCAACTCTGCTGTTTGCAGAGGATGTTGACCTGTTGGCCTCATCAAACCCGGACCTTTGGCATGCACTGGGGCGGTTTGCAGCCAAGTGTGAAGGATGACGATCAGCACCTCATAATCCAGGGCCATGGTTCTCAGGGTCTTGTTCACAAGTAAGGGACACCATCCTGGAGAGAAATATCAGCTGTGCTGCTTCCATCAATGCCCTTGTTTATAGATGTTGGAGATCTGCCTGTTTTTCAGTGTAGTCCTGTTTCTCTGACTGTGACTGGCTGGATGTGCTCTCTTCATCCTCTGACATGGGAGCTGGCTCAGAGCTCGTCTGCCTGACTGTGTGTTTCCTGGATGGGGCCGCCTTTTACAGCTGCTTTTTGTTTTATTCTATTCCATTCTATAGAAGAAATAACCAATATTCTGAGCACTTTGAAGTGCTTACAATGTCTGTAAATATCTGTTATTTGTAATAAATTATATATTTTTTACTTCTTCAACAGAATCAATCAGAAAATCAACCATTCAGTGAAATTCTAGCCCTCCCCCCCTTTTTTTTGTTCTTTGAGTAAAATTTGAATGTTTTTGGAATCTCGCCACTAGAGGGCAGTAGAACTTTGCAAATAAGCCTAACCATCCTGCAGCAGTCAGTAGGAAACAATATCCAATAGTTTACTATAAGCAAATGATCAAATTTACCTGTTAAGATATTCAGGTGCAGAGACCTTTGGCTTCTTGCAGCAATGATTATTTTAAGTCAGAACATTTACTATTTTCAATGTTTTATCTGCACAACCAACATTTTAACTGAAAGTTTTCTCTAAACTTGCTCAGGGTAAAACTAGATATTTTTTTGGAAAAAAAAGACACCCTTTTTAAATCTTTATTATTATAATAATTATTATTTTGTTTATTTTTTTTGCTGCCAGGCTGGTTTAGGAACCCTTGCATGGTTTTTAACAGCAATTAGAGAATGAAGCTAATTACACATATCTAATAATTTCTTCCCTTTTGTAATACTGTACTTGTTTCTGTTTTTGTTGTCATAGTTTCTCTTAATTGATGTTGATGTTTTTGCTTTGCTCATCTGGCACCTCCACTTTTACTATTGCAACAGTAGAAATAAAGTGTAATCACACATAATACTGTCCAAACAAACATTTGCAATTTCTTGCATAGACAGTGGAAATTTAAGCCCACAGAGACGGGAAGGATGTGTCAACATCTGGAATTTGTGAGGAAAGAGAATATCGAGGTTTTTCATTGTCAAGTGTTTGGAGAACATGGAAGGTAGTTTAGGAGAAAACTCCCACACTCCTTCCTGAGTGGGTTGTTTTTTTACAGCATCTGTATACAAAAATCAGCACTGAACACAACTAATGATAAATAACGAGTTCTTTTAGTAAAAACATAAGCTTTATTAAAGCTTTCAAATTCCTGGTCTTACATTTTTATAGTTGTGGCTGACAAATTAAACAGATTCAACAACAGGTTTAATGGCAATAGTCAAATAAAGCGACTGGAAGGCTTGTGAATTGAAACAGAAAAGGCGAAGTCTGTTTAAAGCCCTGCAAATGGAGACAACATACAGTAATAGGGAAAAAGTTCAAGTTTTAGCAGCATTTAAATACTAAGCTGGGCTCTTTGACATGAAGATTAAACATTCTTAGCTGCTTCACCCCTGGTTTGAACCAAATACAAATAAATATAAGTGCTAATGCATACATACGTATATACAATATATATATATATACAATTATTCAGCCACGCAACATGCAGCAAAACAAAGAAAGAACAAAGTAGACCAGATAGGTCTAACCAGACAACAAAACAAAATTGTTCCTAAAATAGTCAAACCTGGATTTAAGTAATGCAAAGCCTGAAACAAGTCAAAACCTTACAGGTTATTTAACCTTTTTATCAGGTTTATTCCCTGAAACATTCCTTACAGATATATGGAGCTCTGCTAGCTCCTACTGGTAACTTTCCTAACCTTCATGAACTCAGAAGTCAATTTTCAGTCCCTGCTGGAGATTACTTTTCTAAAATTCACAGGTTGTGTGGTTATGTCACTTTTTTGGAACTTAATGGGGACTTTCTCTGAACTTTAATGGTTAAGTTTCTAACAGTTAATTTCTGAAATGCACAGTTGTCTTTTCTAAAACTTGTAGGTTACTTTCTGAGATATAACAGGTTGTGTATCTGTCACTATAAGCTTTCTTTTTTCCTATTTTCCTCAAAATTGAGAAGTTATTTTTCACTAAAAGGTGATATCCAGAGTTTTTCTTTAGTGGAATTTAAAAGTTTATATCCTGAAACATAAGTCTTATTTTTTCTTGTTTTGAAATAAAGTAATGTTTCTAAAAAAACATCCTTTCCTCGAACTTGAAAGTTCATTTTCTGAAAAGTAAAGATAATTTTCCTTACTTAAAATGAGCAATTTCACTTTTATAGAAATAGGTCACTTTCCTGAAATGTGCTGTATGACTTGCTTTTCCACAACTTTAACTTAAAAACAACTTTTGTTTAAGATAAATATGGGTTGTGGTCATTATTTTTTTTCTCTTTATGCTTAAAGCTTTGCTTCTCAGAAAGCACCTGCATGGGTGGAACAGCAATTTCCCACTTTTTGAGATACGTATACAATGAAATGATCATTTTTGCACTACTTGTAAGGGAATGATTTTAGATGCCGAGTTAAGAGTTGTGGTCGTAGTTGTTGGCACGTAAGAGGCGGGTTTCAGTAGTCTGTTCTTAAGTACCGGAGGGAAGAAAGTAGATATGTAAGCAACCTTAAACCCTGAGTTACAAAAGCAGTAAACCAGTGGGTCCAGCAAGCAGTCGAGGTAGGACAAAACCATGAGAGTGTCGAACACTTGGACCACTATGTCCTCTGTCTTTTGCGAGTCTTTCTGCCGTCGTACTATCAATAACACCGCTCGTGCTATTGTGCTGGGCAGGAAGCAAACGGAGAAGACGACGGCGACAGAAAGAACAGCAAACACAGCTCTCCTCAGCTTGGCCTTATCCCCAACCGTCTTCCTCTTTAGTCGACTGACGATTCGAGTTGTGCAGTAAACCAAGATGCCGAATGGGATAATGATCTGAGAGAAGAAGACAAACTGAAAAACAAAGATAAGGCTGATTATTTAGGGTGGCAATGTCATTGCAAAGTGACGATCTGCAAAATTAAACTGCTAGTTAAAAAGATAAACAGATGCCAACATTTGCTTTAATAGAAAAGAAAAAAGTGGAAAAATACAAGTGGTTGCTGATTCTTAAAGAAATGCATCGGTGTGCCAAGCTGTTAGTGAGGTGGAAAGATTTACTCCTGTAGGTAATAATTAATGAAATGAAGGGCTGTTTCTTTGAGAGGCACTGGGTTTATGTAAATAGCTGCAGGTCAACTTAAATGAAGGACTGAATGCTAAAACTCAACACTATCCTTCCAACTGTTCATCTAGCTTATATTTTTGTTCCTGGATACATGGATATTGATCTGGATATGTTTGATTATTTTACGCATCTGATTTATCTGTTTAGAAAAAGTATGTTGTTCAATGTGTTTGCATCTATTGGTACTTCATTCATTTTAGACCTTAACCTTTCGGTATGTCTTCACATGCCTCTGCTGACCCCCATTTCCTTTGGTTTATTCCTGTTAAACTATCTTATAATTGCTTTTCCCTAATAATATATATTTTTTTTAATGAAAATTAAAGCTGCACTGGAAAAAGCATCTAGAAATAAGTAAAAAATTCTTAAATTAAGTGTATTTACCGTTGTTTTAAGTAGGTAAATAAGCTAGTTTGCAAATGGGATGAGTATTTTCAATCCTAGTATAATATAATTAGATAATATGCACCTGAAATAAGAAAATGCTATTGTTTTTTCTTATTTTATATGTAAGTTGTCTCATTCCATGGACAAATTGTCTCATTTTCCTCCTCAATTCAAGAAAGAATGCAATTATTTTAAGAAGAAATTACTTAAGTAGATGGATAATTTTGCAGTGTGATTAGCACATTTTAAATTTTGTAGAAGTTCTATAACATAGGATATACTGGAGCTCCTGCCCACCTACATACTTTCTACCCTTTTCTCATATCATGATGGACATACTTTGAAATCAAACTTGTTGAACTGGTTGAAAAAAAAAGTTTTCAATTCAATGCTTTTTAATGTCGATGGGAAAACATGCTTTGCATGTTTAAACCTGCAGAGATTTTAATCTTGGCATGTTTCATTTTGTAGAGTGGATTCAGATTTGGGAGAATCTATGAACATCAGTTTTTAAGTCATGCTGCTAATTTTCAGCTGGACTGATTGATTGGATTTTGACAGGGCGACTCTAACCTAAATGACTCCATAGTCTCTCTGACTGTTTATTAAAGTCTAGTTCTCCAAGATGAAACTATGTTTTTTGACAAACTGCTGCCATTGTTGGGATCTGGAGGTCTGTCCACTTTTCTCCACCAGAGGGCGTACTAGATCTCCTGGAACCGGAGCTGATTGCTACCACCTGTCGCTCATCTGCTCATTAGGGGATCTGTATTTAAGGAGGCAGAGGACGTCTCTCCAGTGCCAGAGTGTTTGCCAGTTACGGTTAGCGAGCCTGAGCCAACCTGCCTGTCTGAATCTCTGACTCCCTGAAAACCTGAACCTGATCTGATTACTCCTTTCTGTTTCCCAGGTTGAACCTGCCTGAAACCAGAAACCCTGAAGGGTTTCTCTGTTGGAAATCTGCCTGTCTGATCTTTGAAAGAACCCTGGAGAATCATTCCGGTCAAAGACCTGCCTGCCCGCTCTCTGAAGAATCTGGAAGGGAAATTCAAATCTGTGATCTGCAAACACTCAAACCAAGCTCTGCCTCCTCCAAGCCCTCAGCCTGCCGACAGCCTCTGGACCCTCAAGGTTCCCCCCCTTAGCCGCTAAGCTCAAACTCCAGAACAGGTACCGTCCTGCTCACTCACATCCTGCAAATTACCTGAACATCTGCTAACTCCTCTGTCCCCCTCTGCAGTGAACCCACTCGAGATCAGTCCTGGATCTGATTAACCCCTTGATCTTTTTATTCTCTGTACGGAGTCATCTCAATAAACCTTTGAACTTTTCTCCTGCTTCAGTGTGTTCTGCATGTGGGTTAGGAACCTTAAGCCAAACATGACAGCCATCTTCCCGGTCCCTGCTACAGAGAATCCTTACTTCAGCATGTTTAACTGTAGAGTCGATTGATTCAGGTTTATACACAATGCTTTTCAGACACATGTTAAGTTTGTTATCTTCTGACCAAAGCAGCATCAGCTGCTTTAAGACGTGACGAATTTCCATTTCAATGGAGGAATGGATGGATTGAACAACAATCTGTGAGAAATTGTAAAATCCTCAAGTCTTTTCTTAGAATATAATTTCCTCTCTGTTCTTTCTGCTTCATTTCTTAGTTTTCTTCATGCTCTTTTTTCACTAATGTTCTCAACAAACCTCTGAGGCTTTTAAAGAACGGCTGGAATTTACTCTCTGAAGGTAAAAACACTGATTAGTTGACCTCTAAAGGAAGCAGGTTTATGGAAATCAGAGTAAACACTACAAAAAATCGAATCATTTTTCTTAAAATAAGTGCATTTGTTCGTGAATCGCGGAGATAAATGAGACATTTTGCCAATGGAACAAGACACTTTAGATTTACGAAAAGAAAACACAATTGCATTGTCTTATTTCCAGTGTATTTCATCGAATTCTCTTATTTCAAGAGTAAAAATACTCATCCCATTGGCAAACTATCTCATTTGCCTATTAAATCAAGGGTAAATACACTTAATTTTCAGAAATTTTTTACTTATTTCTAGATAATTTTTTTAGTGAAATAGTAAGAACACAAAAGCAAGACAAATTTAAGGCTCTGAAAATGTTAAGAATACTCTTGAAACATACCTCTCTAAAGGCGTCTGTCAATTTTTCCGAAGTATCACTAATATTTCGGCCAAGGCTGTTGCAGCAATCAAAGCTTCTTACCAACGTGGGGATGGTAAGCGGCAGTAAGAACACCCATATAAGCACGGAGATCAGGGGAGACTTCTTAAACACCTTGACACAGTTTCTCCTCCCAAGGTGGACCACGCTGAAGTAGCGGTCCAGAGACAGCGTGATGAGGAAGGCGATGCTGGCCCCTCGATTGAGAAACAGCATGAAGAGCATCAGGGTGCAAACCGTCTCATTTTCGCTGCGCCTGACCTGATTCTGATAGTGGTGGATCTTAAAAGGAAGGCAGGCCACCAGCAGAAAATCAGCAACCACAATGTTGAAGAGGAACACACTGTTGTTCTTCCAGAATTTGAACCTAAAAAAGGAAGCATTAACAAAACATTTAGTAGAACCAAAAACCTGAGAGCAGCTTTTCAAACCTACACAAAAAATTATTAAATCTCCTGGTGTTTTTGCTTTGTTAAAAAGAAAATGCTGATTTTTTATATTGCAAAAACATTTATTTAATTCAATTTGATTGTTTTTCTTCTAAATCAAAATTGCTTCTTTGTTTCTGTTTGCACTCAAAGTACTCAGGAAATGTATTATCTCAATCAAAGATGTTGAGGTCTGTATGTCTGTCACGTAATGCAAACACATGCTCTTATCTGGCGACATCATTAAAATGCAGTTTGACATTTAAACATTTTTATGAAAACCACTGATTAGAATCAACTACATAACTTGAACATAATACTTTAATAATTTACTTAAACTAGTTTTACATCACACAGTCTTGAAGCTGTAAAAGCTGACACACTGCTAAAACGATCTAGAAATACCTGAAAAATTGAATTAAATTACCCTTAATTTGAGTAGATAAATGAGATGATTTGCCAATGGAATGAGTATTTTTACTCTTAAAATAAGATATTTAGATAATATGCACGTGAAATAAGACAATGCAGTTGTTTTTTCTTATTTCAAATGTAAAATGTCTTGTTCCACTGGGAAAGTGTCTCACTTACCTCCTTAATCAAAGAACACACGCACAGGTTTTAAGAAAAAAAAATGAGTTATTTAGATTGCAGTGCATATTTTAAAAAGTGCTAGCACTTTGTGATTAAAATGCATTAAGTTTGTTACTTCAGTCTAACCTCTGATAATCAGAAGCTCTGTCTACACATAACAATAATGGTTAGAAATGCTGCAAACTTTCTGAAAAAGGATCTTATAAAACTTATCTGCTGTATTTAATAGAAATTAATGTAGAATAAAACAAGCAAATAAGGTAGTGATACCTGAAGATGAAGATGTAGAGCACCGAGAGGTTAAGAGGTAGACCCAGAATGAATTCTCCAGCCATCACCCAGGACAAGACTTTGTATGTGTTGTTATTTGGCACATTGCAGTGGTCCTCTAGCCCTGTAGTGTGATTCTGAGTTAAAGAATAGTGAGCCATTTATTTTCCCTCTGCAATAATAAAGCCCAAGCCGATCCTTTATCTCCACTTTGCTCCTGGCTGTAAATCCTCTCCCCCGCAGACCCTGGTTTCCTTCTCTCCTACTTATCCGATAAATTCAACAGTTCCTCTCAGATATCCTGGCAGTGATTGTTAGACCCAGATGATCATCTTCTAACCATGCCAGAAGATAATGAAGAAACACACATAGTAAAACTTCCAAAAGAAATGAGATATACGCAGCACAAAGTGGAGGAGACGATACCTCTCTGAGTGTGTCTGAGTCTGAGTGTGTGTTCTCTATTTATGCAAGGCTGCAGCTGATGCCTGACGGAGGATGAACACATATTTCAGTTGGAGGTGTGGTTTAAGTAGAGTGACTCAACCAGCCAAGAGGTGTCAAACCTCCTGTAATTAAGAAATTGAAGCAAAAAGCTGTTATTCCTTCAGGATTCAGCTGTAAGTTGGCGGAACCTGAATTTTAATATGTTCGGAGAATCCACTGTTGTTTAGGGGAAATACAGCATTATATAAACGCCAATTTTAGCCACTTGAAAGTAAATAAAATTGCACATATGTCATAATCATAATTAATCATTTTTATAGTAATTAATATAAAACATATACATATGAGCCAAAACTTTTCAACAAACCAAATGGTGCACAAAGTGCTTTACAAGTTATTATAAAAACATGATGTTAAGACAAAATACACTCACCAGCCACTTTATTAGGTACACCTGTCCAACTGCTCGTTAACACTTAATTTCTAAGCAGCCAATCACATTGCGGCAACTCAGTGCATTTAGGCATGTAGAAATGGTCAAGACAATCTCCTGCAGTTCAAACCGAGCATCAGTATGGGGAAGAAAGGTGATTTGAGTGACTTTGAATGTGGGATGATTGTTGGTGCCAGAAGGGCTGGTCTGAGTATTTCAGAAACTGCTGATCTACTGGGATTTTCACGCACAACCATCTCTAGGGTTTACAGAGAATGGTCAGAAAAAGAAAAAACATCCAGTGAGCAGCAGTTCTGTGGGCGGAAATGCCTTGTTGATGCCAGAGGTCAGAGAAGAATGGCCAGACTGGTTCAAGCTGATAGAAGGGCAACAGTGACTCAAATAACTACCCGTTACAACCAAGGTGGGCAGAAGAGCATCTCTGAACGCACAGTACGTCGAACTTTGAGGCAGATGGGCTACAGCAGCAGAAGACCACACCGGGTGCCACTCCTTTCAGCTAAGAACAGGAAACTGAGGCTACAATTTGCACAAGCTCATCGAAATTGGACAATAGAAGATTGGAAAAACGTTGCCTGGTCTGATGAGTCTCGATTTCTGCTGCGACATTCGGATGGTAGGGTCAGAATGAAACATGAAAGCATGGATCCATCCTGCCTTGTATCAACGGTTCAGGCTGGTGGTGGTGGTGTCATGGTGTGGGGAATATTTTCTTGGCACTCTTTGGGCCCCTTGGTACCAATTGAGCATCGTTGCAACGCCACAGCCTACCTGAGTATTGTTGCTGACCATGTCCATCCCTTTATGACCACAATGTACCCAACTTCTGATGGCTACTTTCAGCAGGATAATGCGCCATGTCATAAAGCTGGAATCATCTCAGACTGGTTTCTTGAACATGACAATGAGTTCACTGTACTCAAATGGCCTCCACAGTCACCAGATCTCAATCCAATAGAGCATCTTTGGGATGTGGCGGAACGGGAGATTCGCATCATGGATGTGCCACGAAGAATTGAGGCAGTTCTGAAGGCAAAAGGGGGTCCAACCCGTTACTAGCATGGGGTACCTAATAAAGTGGCCGGTGAGTGTAATAGAATATGTAAATATAAAATCAAGAAAAAAAGCATACAACGGATAAAACCAAAAAATTCATAAGAGCAGAATTAAAATATATTTCTAGGAGCTATATAAAAAATATATAACATCATATACCAAAAATAAATATAACCCTGAGTTTAACATCTAGGAGTTAGAGGTCTGAGCTCAGCAATTGATCGTAGTTCTGGAGGTAAATTTCCCCACTAAGGGACGATAAGTGAGAAATAAAAATTATGATTCTCAAATAAGATTTGTTCATTATACACTGCTCAAAAACATAAAGGGAACTCTCAATTAACACGTCCTAGATCTAGCTGAAACATTTTTACTGCATGATTTTTCTGTACAAATTCAGTTCAAAGTGCTGAAAAAAACACAAAAATATGTGTCTGTAGAACCTCCCTACAACACCTGGACATGCTCCAGAGTGGTCTCCTGCCAGACCTGTAGGAAAGCATTCGCCAACTCCTGGACAGTCTGTGGTGCAACGTGACGTTGCTGGATGGATCGAGACATGATGTCCCAGATGTGCTCAATCAGATTCAGGTCTAGGGAATGTGTAGGCCAGTCCATGGCTTCAATGCATTTGATCTTGAAAGGAAAGGACTGCTGACTCACTCCAGCCTTATCAGGTCTAGCGTTGTCCTGCATTAGGAGGAACCCAGGGTCAAACGCACCAGTATATGGTTTCACAAGGTGTCTGAGGATCTCATCTCAGTACCTAATGCCAGTGCTACCTCTGGTGAGCACATGGAGGACTTTGTGGCCCTCCACAGAAATGCTACCCCACACCATCACTTACCAACTGCTAAACCAGTCATACTGAAGGATGTTGCAGGTAGCAGATTGCTCTCCACAGGGTCTCCAGACTCTGTCACCTCTGTCCCATGTGCTTAGTGTGAAGTTGTGTTCATCTGTAAAGAGCACAGGGCGGCAGTGTTGCATTTGCCAATCCTGGTGTTGTCTTTCACATTCCAAGTGTCCTGCATCTTGTGGGCTGCAAGCAAAACCCCCATCTATGGATGTTGGGGCCTCATACTATCCTCTTGGAGTCTATTTCTAATTGTTTGTCCAGACAGATTTACATTTGTGGCCTGCTGAAGGTAATTTTACAGGGATCTGACGGTGCTCCTCCTGTTCTTTTTTGCACAAAGGCAGAGGTAGCGGCCAAGCTGCTGGGTTGTCACCCTCCTATGGCCTCCTCCACATCTCCTGGTGTACTGGGCTGTCTCCTTGTCTCCAGTCTCTAGATACTATGCCGACAGACAGAGCCAACCTTCTTGCCACAGCTCACATTGACATGCCATCCTGGATGTGTTCAATACCTGAGCCTCTGTGGTTTGCAGAGTACATCTCATGCTAACACTAATGTGAAAGTACCACCAACATTTAAAAGTGACTAAAACATCGGCAAGAAAGCGTAGGTACCGAGACGTGGTCTGTGGATCTTTAATGAGTGTGTCTTGCTAATTGCAAGTAATTTCCACCTGTTCTCTATTCCCTTTGCACAACAGCATGTGAAATTGATTGTCAATCGGTGTTGCTTCCTAAGTGGACAGTTTGATTGTGCCCAATTTTGATTTATTTGAAGTTATATTGTGTTGTTTACATGTTCCCAGTATTTTTTAGCAGTTAATTTTCTGACTCATTTCTACTTTTATATAAATAGGAAAAAAAAACAGCATTTCAAATTACAATAAAAAAGAATTCAAGGTCAAGAAGAAGCTCAATGATCTACGTTATTATTACAGTAATCTTTTTCTGGTGAAGAGATGATTACCTCAGTTTTATCCTTATTTAGCAGGATTAAGACATCTGGTATTTACCTGTAAGTAGACGTCTTGATAAAATGTAGAGTTTTGAAATGTATTTTAGAGGAAATGAGATATGCAACTGGATAATATCAGCATAACAATGACAGGAAATCCTTAAAAAGTAAGGGTGTAAGTGAGAGCAGGTTTAACAAAAACAACAATGTACCCAGAACAGAGCTCAGTGGAACACCAAAGGGAACAAAATAAGAATAAGAGCTATACAGAGATGTAGCCAAAAAGGTTGATCTGTCTGACAAGTAAGAAGACAACCATTTTAAATTAGGACCTGAAATACCAGCCCAACTCCTCAACCTATCTAACAGACTCAGATGATTAACAGTGTTAAAAGCTGATGTTACTGTAGGTCTAACACAAATAGTACAAAAAAAAATTGCTATATCATGCTATGTCAAAAAATTGTTAAAATATGGGGCGACAGGGGCATTGAATGCAGGAGTTTGCCTTGCAACCGAAGGGTCTTTGGTTCAAACCCCAGCTCTTGCTTCCACTATTGTTGTGTTGGTGGTTAGAGGGCCTGGTAGCACCATTGCACAACAGTCTTGATTCTATCAGTGAGCAAAATGTACCATGTAGCTTGCCACCACCAGTCTTTGTGCATGGGTGAATGTGCTGTAAAGCACTTTGGTCAAGTCTCCTGGCTTAAAGAGTTGTATAAATACAAGCTATTTAACAGATAATATTATGAAAACGTATTATACCTTGGTACCATAAAGGACACGTAGCTTACTCTTTTCTAAGAACTTGTGAAATGAAATTCTGGGTAACCACCTGGTAGGACAGATAAATCATTGTGATTAATGGCCACAACTTCCTTTCTCAGTTGAAATTGAAAGGAAATCCCGTATTTTGACATATCCAGTGGATGTCTGCATCTATATTATTTAAATTGGAGTATAAGATCTAGCTCTTTCAGTGTCAGACATCTCGGGGAAACTCCAGAACCTGATGGTGTTTCCCTCTTCTGCCTGAAAGGCTGAGCTGATTGGTTGGGTCCCATTTTTACTCAGATCTCTAAAGATGTTGAAGGTTATCTACTGCTTCAAAAAAGTAACATGCCATCAAAGGAATACGTGACTACAGACCAGACACCAAGACATCTTTGTTGATGAAACCCAGATATTCTTTATCAGAACCTAACCCAGCTCACAGTGCCAGCCTCTCAGTAGATGACCAATTCCCTGACAGACCACCAGTATCAGGTAAGTCTGGGGTACTTTTATATCCTCACAAGATACGTCACCATCGGGACCCCTCAAGGGTGTGTTTGGCTTCCACTCTCACACCACTGTTAAGCCTCTTTCCCGCTGAAAATAGCACGTTGACATGTGTTTTTCCAAACATGAGCTAACAATCTGCATTGGGCCACATTGGGCTCCCTTCCCATTTGTAAAAAAGGTGGGTCTCCTTCCCCCCCGTGGCTGTGTGTCTGGTGACACCATAACAGTGTGACGGCTAACACCATTAGCATTAGTGATGTCACTAGTGCGACAGAATTCAGGGAAGTAAACAATGGAGAGCAACATGTAAGGAAGCCAGGGTGTAGTAAGTGTGTTATAAATTTTTACTCTTTTATCTGTCAAAATTCCTCTCATTAGCGCTGCGCCATGT